TCTACAAATCAATTAACACGTGCAGCTCTCGTAAATTTCATTTTTTTGTTTTATCCATTTCTTAAAAATTCTGTTTATATAAAAACATTAGATGTTAATATCAGATCGATGTTATCAATTAACTGTTGCTTTACAATCGATGTCAACACGAATTTCCTGTGAAAATGCTCAAATGGCATCAACTCAACTTATTCAATGTGCTTCAAATATTTTAACAGTATAAGATTTTCTATAAAGATTAAAAGATTTTTTAATCATAACTTTAGGCTGTTAATGGACCATTACAAGAAAGAACAATTGTACTTGATTTAGATTCATCACGTGCAAATACATTACCAACTGATTATGATACTGATCTGGAATCTGAGTGGTCAAATCCAAGTAAGATTTTTAAATGAATAAAGACATTGACTGTCTTAAATCTAACCATTTTCATGAGTTAGTCTGTCATTGTTCATACAGTAAATGAAATTCAAATTTTTGAGTCTATAGTTCAACCATTCTATGCTAAATCTTACTGTACGATGATATTTGGTTCGTAAGAAAGAGAGAGAGAGAGAGAAAAGTTAATTTATTATTTGAATATAGATTTATTTGCTGATGGAAATGATTTTTCGCGTGCAACAATTGATAAAAATCGAAATATTTATTATCAAAAACAATTAGCAAATGAAATAACAAATCAAACAAATAAAATAATTTCATTATTAACATCTTCATTAAATATTCAATTAAATATTGGTCAAAATTCAACAATAAATACATCTCAAACATTTATGTCATTATCAACAATATCAATTAATTCTCTTTCAAATAAACAAATTCAACAAATAGATAACGCACAATTCAATATTCCATCTAATATTAATATCAATATAACTAATAATTCAGCAATATCAATTCGAGTAAATTTACTAATTTATTTTTTTTATGATTCGAGATTTATTTATTTTTTAGTCAATAATGAATACACTTGCTTCATTTGATAAATCTCAATCGAATACAAATCTTTCAAGATTAATTTCGCTTTCAATTCTTGATCAATATGGAAATCAACTTCCTTTCGAAACAAATTCAAATCAAACAATTCAATTAATTATACCACGTGATCAAAATCTTCTTATTCCTGATATGATTTTACAAAATGTTACTTCAACTAATACAACTCTTCAAAATCAATTATTTTATTTAAGTTATATTAATATTACAAATCAACTTTCAATTTCAGTTCATTTTGAAATTTCTCCATTAAATATAAATCTTGCTTATTTATTTATTTATAAATTTGATCAAACACCATTATTAAATAGTTCAATTAATCTCATTGATGGATGGACATTATTTTGTCCTTCATCAAGTAAGACTTTCATTTTAAATAATCGAATTTTCTTTATTCTTTTGATTATAGATTTAACAAATGAAACTATTTATAAATATTTTATGAATAACCAACAAACATCTGGACATCAATCATTAATATTTGGTTTAAGAGAATTAAATTCAACAGAAATTATTGATTATTGTTCAAATAATAATAATACTAATAATGATCTTCCGATTACAGATGAAAAATTTAATTTTACATCAAATTATCAACTTCGTATATATACATCTGGTTGTTATTATCTTGATCAAAATAATCAATATAAATCAGATGGAGTAATTGTAAGTTAACTCAAAATTCGGTAGAGTATAATAGCTTTAAGAAATATATTTATTTAAGGTTGGATCATTAACAAATCATTATGAAACTGAATGTTTATCAACTCATTTAACATCATTTGCTGGTGGTTTTATTGTTTTACCAGAACCAATTAATTGGAGTTATGTTTTTGCCAATGCTGGTTTTATGAAAAATAAAACAATTTATTTAACAATTATTTGTATGTCTATTGCTTATATTATTTTGATGATTTTTGGACGTTTTAAAGATAAAAAAGATATTGAAAAATTAGGAGTAACACCATTACCTGATAATGATAAATC